ATATTTTTTCAAAAGAGGACATAAATTTCCGAATCTCAACTTACATTGTCACACATGGCACCAAACATTTGCAATATTTCCATTTAGGCGTCTCTCCCTCGGGCTATGAGCAGAAGTACAATGCCTTCTCTATCAAAGCCTCATGTGGGAAAATTGATTGTTGGGTTCATTGCCACAAGCACTAGTTCTTCCATGAAGAGGAGAGGTGTTTCGGGAATGGAAAGTAGTAAATGATGATCGGGACACTAGAAAGCTATCCGACCCACAAACACATCGTCAAATGGCACTTCGGACCATGAGAAAAGGCCATTGACGGCTTAACTCAAACACTATGCCCAGTTGCCTCGCACGCGAGAACACTCATTTTTTAAAACATTTAGAAAATGAGGCACCTTTTGAAAAACCTTTTGGAATCCATAGTTTTGGGAGAGAGTCCGACACATATGTCCTAAACTAGATAATAAACATTATCAACTCATCCTGGACGAGATAGAAGTAAAGCTACCCATGATATAAAAAAATCCTCGTATCGCCACACTACTCCCTATAATGAACACCATCATAACATAAACTCTTCAAAGCACAGTGAGTAGGAATCATGAACGGGATAATGTATTTGGAACCCTTCAGGTTCTAAATTTTTTAGCATGAAATCTAGTTCCATAACACACAAAATGTAGGACATTATTCAATCATGCATTCACATGCACTCGCAGCCCTTAAATTGTAGGAATTTGGCAAAACAAAGGCTCCAAGCATAGAAGAAATAGGCCATTCATCACATTTGTATTCACTCACCATTCACATACATATTCAACACCTCTCACACTTGAACACAACATTGTCCCCAATGGAGCAAGAATAAGCATGGAATGACATTACCGAATCATTGGCGAGCAAGGTTGTTAACCCGGATTGGCCCGTCGGCCCGGCCAGAGGACTGGGTGGAGGGTTGATGGGTCAACCAGGGTTGACCCCGTTTGACCCGTTTTTAAAAAAGGATGGTTGTTTTAAGTTACTTAAAAAATTGGAGGACCAAATCAGCAATTACCGTATGGTTGAATTTGTTAATAAACTTGAATTATGGAATTAAGACTATAATTTCAAGAATAAGAGTTAATAATAAAATAATTTCCCTCACCTTTATCTCTCGCCTAGGGTTGCAGATCACTCCCAATTACTTTCTCTCTCTCTTTCTTTCTTTCTTTCTTTCTTTCTTTCTTTCTTTCAGCATCGTCAGTCTCTATTCCCTCTCTTCCTCTCCTTCCAAACGGCGCTACGATGAAGCAGGTTGGCCGTGGGTCATGGCTAGAGGGTGATTTGTGGTGTGGTTATAATGTTGACGACGACGGGGCGCGGGGCGACAGATACGCAAAGTCGGCGCGGTGACAAGGAGCAACCGACGCTCTGGTTGTCCGACGATGATGGCACATATCTGTGCGAGAGCTGCCGCTGCTGGCTGCGGCTTAGCGAGGATGGAGAACAATGATGTAGAGATCTCCAACCCGGAACCCGTGCTGATGGGTCAACTGCTCAGGTTTGCGAGTTTTGACCGAGCAAAGGCGGGTTTGACTTAAGCGGGCCAACTATTCAACCGGTGGCAAGAACCCATTTTTCCACTGGGTCCGGGTTAACCCAGGTCGACCTGCGGGTCAACCCGTGGGTTAAAAACCTTGTTGGCGAGTGAAAGTCGCACTGGAGATGGACCAGTTTGGAAGGAGAGATAAAGCTAACAAAAAAACACAAGCACAAATACATGCTCCGCAAAGGAGAGGTTATTACACAAACACAATATCCGGACATCAAAAGAAAATAAAAAGAAATCATCGTTGGGGTCCCAAAAAGTGCTACTTTTACATCATAAGCTAGATGGTTGTTCATTAAAGTTCGGTCGATCCTAGCACCTCCTTGAAATTGAGGTTCTTGCCATCGAAGTGGAGGCACAAGTCCCAGGCATATAATGCTTTAAATGATGTAAATGGCTCACAAAATTGGTGTGAATTGAAGCTCTACCCACAATACATTTTCTTCTTTTCTTCTTGTTTATGCTCTTTTCCCCATACCATGTTGAACATTATGAATTGAAAAACATCACATCCACCAAGAGGGATCGACAATGATTTGGCGTTCGCTTGGAAAAGAGCTGGAAATGGGTCCTTCTCGAGTAGTGCATCAAGGTCAGGTGGAAAGCTTTGGTGGCACTTGTAACTTGTAAAAGCTTCATCCACAATGACCTCGTCCTCAACCTCCCCTAATTTTTTCCTCGCTTTGGGGACAACCAATATCTTCCTCTTCTTCAATACTTAGGTCCTCCTCCTCAACCCTTTCTCTCAACCTTTCTCAATCTTAATCAAGCACATGTCGAATAGAAAGTTTCCAAGCCATGCCCTCCATACGGTAGCAAGTTTCTCTCGGGAAGAAGAAAGGTGTAAAATCCATCAATGTAACACTCTTGGTCATCCTCTCCACGAAATCTCTCTGGAGTGAGTTCCTCTTGCTCCACGCTGTTGTTATTGATCGCCTCTTCAACCTCCTCTTTCTCTTCAAGTGGTAAGATATGAAGGCGTGCACATGATCGCAACCTTCTCTTGTAGTGTCAAATGTGTGATGGAGCATGTTCCTTCAAAGTTTTCCATGGAAAGCTCCAATGAGTTGCTTGCCATGAAATTTTCTATAGTTAGCTCCTACTTGGACTTCTCTTCGCGTTGTGGGAAATCCAAATTCAAGCGTTCTTTGTTGGTGCCTCGGGCAAACCGCTCCATGAAGGCCTCCATGGCCATTCCAACTTTTATTTTATCTCACTCTGTGGAGGGAAGTTTTCTTGTCATGGGGAGGCCTCTTGAAATACCCATGGGTATGGTTAATCTTCTTGGAAGGAAGGTTGTCAATAGAACCCGAATCCTTGACTTACACCATCTTGATCGTTCTATGAAGCCTTGGTGTAACTACTATCATGTGGTGGTGGATACTGATCCGTAGTGTAGTGTAGAACAAATTTACCTAATCCTAAGGCAAGGATCGTATTCCTTCAGGCCACTTGGAAACCCTTACTTTAGAAGCGAGGTACGGTTCTATTAAAGAAGAGGTGGGTTTAGGAGTTTGAGCCTCCTCCAGTTTTGCAAAACATAGGAGTTCAAAAGTTAAAGCGGTACAAAACTGTAAATCCTTAGATATTGGAAAAGTGAGAGAGAAAATAAGGAAAGTGTTGCATAGCAAATGTTCCCCCTATGTCTCCTAACCACACATCGTCGGAGAACGAGCTAACAATTTCTTATTTCGTTAGATCCCACCTTATTTTATTAGATCTTCACTAAGGAGTTATGCTATTTGATCGAATGAGGTTCGATCTAGTAGGAATGCCATTTCTAGACCCATTCTAAACGACTAGGATTTTGAGTAAGAAATCATTTGAATCAATAAATAACAAAATAGAGGGAAACACATCACACATATGAAAATCAAACAATCGTATTAATCAAATCATCGAGTTTACATGGTTAGAACCCCTAGGGTTCACATACCTACACATAACTACATTAGCTAATTTGTTATTTTGCGCTAGATTGTGTTCATTTGATACATTTTACATCCTAGTACGTAAAAGGGAGGCATTGCCGCAAGTTTTGGGACAATCCGAGGTCGTTTGGTCACTCAAAAGCCATGCAAAGTGGACCAGAGGAAGAAACACGGGCATGTGAAACGCATTCATATTTTGTCCTCTTGATCCCATGTTTTAGGTGTCGAGGAAATACACAGGCTGAGAAACACGGTCGTGTTTTGCCACCTAGGCAGGAATAAGTGCCTTTTCTGCCATTTTTAATGGGAGAGTTGGGTTTGGATCCCAAACACCCAAGGGACGAACCCTAGAGAGAGAGAGAGAGAGAGAGAGAGAGAGAGCAAATTGGAATAATTCTTGAAGCTATTTCGGAGGGTTTCTTCATCACTGGGGCGCAAAAATCAAGCTTGGAGATGGAGATTGAAGATCTAGATAAGATTTCTGCATTCTTTCTCTTCTCTATGGAATAACTTCCCGTCACTTAGGTTTTCAAGAACCCTAGCTATGTTTGGTTGATTGGATGATTGTATGAATAATCTCTCTAGATTATCCTGAGTTCATATTTAATCTATACATGTTTGGATATTCAATTCTACTTTGATTCTATGAGAGGGAATACCTGATTAGATCAAGAGAGGAGCACAAATTGGAAGTAGAGGATCGATTGCATGAATAGTGAGTCAATTCATTGATATTTATCGATTGAGATCCTCATTATATAGGTGTAGAGGTCATTGATAAGTTGTTCTATCTATTGAAGGATACGTCCCTCTAGGCAATCAACTCAAGACAGCCTTGATTGCTTTAGTCGAGATTCAAGGTCTAGTCAAGGACTCTCCGCTTTGTGAATGAAAGTGAATCAAGTTAGAGATCATCAACCATTAATCCGGCTAGTGCCTAGATGGAATCATACCTAAGTGATTTCCCAACCTGTAATTAGTAGTCTAACCTAGTTTATCTTGTAGAAAGTGATGGCAATGGGTTGGGTCGGGGACGGACACTGCATATCCGTTACCCTACCCAAAGTAGTTCGAGTTTTACCCATACTCATACCCATAACCCGATCAGAAACGGGTAGAAAATCAAAACCATGCCCATACCCATTCGGGTTTTGTGTACCCATGATTAGTTTAACCAATTCGATTATCCAGCTTCGACGCTCCCGCTTTGGAGCGCAGAAACGCGTTTCCGACGTAATTCATCAAGAATTCGCATTTTATAAATTTTGGGAGCGCGAATTATAAACTGAAGAGCACGGATTGTCTAAAACATGAACGTTTGAGCTATAAATTCCAATTGAAAGCATATTTATTGAAGTTGTTCATTGTTATTTAGCAGCGACCAATAAGCCATAATGGAGATCCAACGGCGGAGAAGTAAAGATGCATGAATGACGGCGACGATTCAAGGGTCTATCGCCGATGTCTAGCCGCAGATTTCAAATTAGTCAACTAAGTGAAAAGAAGACAGAAGCATACTGTAAATCGAGGATAGAAAGTAGATGGAAGAACTAGAGAGCAGCGAGCTCGTATATCTTGTCGATCACCGAAGAAACGCCGCCATGGCAGTCGTGCCTTCTTCGGCACTAGTGGGATCTTTAGTCTCTCATACCAGAGATAAGGGACCTGCTGACTATGTTCAATCAACTGGGTTGTTCTGTCGATACTGCAAGAAGGACAATCATGTCAAGGAGGATTGCTGGAAACTTAAGAAAAAGAATGGCGTCTTGGGCAGTAGTTCAAACTCAGGGAACAATCCAGTACGAGTAAGAGGCTTTGCTGGGTTGATGTTAATTCACCATAGATGACTTCTCCAGGAGGAGCAAGCAATTATAGACCCACTAGTCTAGATTATCCACAAGATTCAAGCTCCCCAACTTTCTCTAGTTTCACCTTTGATGAGCTTACAAGGCTTAAAGCATTGCTCCAGTCACCACCTGCTCACAACACAAGTCAAGCTAATTCAGTCCTGACTAGGAACAACTCTCCAATGGCCGGTACAATAGCATTCTCTACTTTAAAAACTTCTAGTGATGAGGTGTTTTGGGTACTAGACACAGGAGCTAGTGACCATATCATTTGTTCTATCAAGCTGTTTCTTAGATGTAAGCAAATAGACAAAATGACAGTAACTCTTCCTAATGGGCATCATTCTCGAGCCACACTTATAAGAATAGTTAAGCTTCCCTGTGGTATTCTTTTAACCAATGTGCTTCTAGTACCATTCTTTTCTGATAACCTAATGTCAGTCAGCCAACTCATCAAAAATAGTCCAATCTCACTTTTGTTTCAATCCACCTTTTGTCATATACATGACCTCATATCTCAATAGAGGATTGGTTTAATCCCAGTAAGTAGAGGCCTGTATCTTCCTAGAGAGAGTTGCAGCCCCCAAGTTTTTGGAGTAAACACCAGTAGCTGTTCAAGTTCCAGTTTATGGCATCAAAGACTAGGACATCTTTCTTTTTCTAGATTGCAAGATGTGAACAAAAGTTGTAATGAGTTTAGCTCACATATGAGTTTTGATTGTGAGATATGTCATTTGGCCAAACAGAAATGCCTCCCATTTCCTAGAAGCACATCTAGGTCTAGTTCTGTTTTTTACATGATACATGCTGACCTATGGGGTCCTGTGGATACTGTTTCTCATGATGGTTTTTAGTACTTCTTAACTATTGTGGATGACCACGGTCGATGCATTTGGCTTTATTTACTGAGTTCCAAATCTCAAACACGTTCTTCTTTACAATCATTCTGTGCAATGGTTAAAACTCAGTTTGAAAAACAAGTAAAGGTTATTAGAACATACCAGGGGCATGAGTTTAACATGAATGAGTTTTACCAGAGGGAAGGAATAGTACATGAGATGAGTTGTGTCTACCCAGCTCAGCAAAATGGAAGAGTTAAGAGGAAGCACCAGCATTTGTCAAATGTTGCTAGGTCTTTGAAGTTCCAATCAGGCTTATGATCACCCGTAACTAACACAGGAAAAATAGGCAAGGGTACCTATCATTCTACGGTAGTATAGCAGGAAGCAAGGTCGTATCCACAGAGACTTCGTGTACTAGTACTCGGCTTTTACCTATTATCTCGTCAATCGTTTTTAGTTGATTTTCGTTTAGAAATAAAAACACACGCAATAATAAAAATAGAATAAAGTAGTTTTCAAAGTAAAATCAAGTGGAGAAGGAGTTGTCCCGGAAGTGAATCCCCCTAATATGCATTTTACAGACAAGTTGAATTTAACATAGACGAGTGTTAATATCTTAGACCATGAAAATTCCCAATTTAGTGTTAACCCGTTTGCACATGTATTAACACCCTTTCGACTTAAGAATCAAGTGAAACCGTGGCTTACAAAAATCTTAAACCAAAGCAATAACCAGATTTATGAATTTTCGTACAAGGTTTTTAACCTAATCCGGAGGAACTACGTGACCCCATCGCCGGTGGCTCCGATCAATTACTTCTTTTCACGAGGGATCTAACATGCAAAATTACCTCGCAGTCTCATTTACATGTATCAGACAAAATATACAATAGACGCGTACTATTGATACTTGCACATGATAAGTCGAGAAAAGATCGTAAGAAAGAGAACAACACGTCTATATCAAAGATACCACTCAATCAATGTAAAACATATTAGGGTTCATCAAATCCGGAACAACTAGAAGATTAGCCGGACATGATGAGATTTAAAAAGATGAAGGTTGAGAACATTACCATGATGATGACGATGACAAAGACGGAGGGGTTGAGAATACGGTATGTATATTGAGTTAATAGATTACACCTAGTGATAGACCGTTAATTACACATGTTTTTACCCCTGTTCTTACACCGTTTGAGATGTGATTTCTCGTGGTTTAGACCGATTTCACGCTAGGTTGTGCTTGTTTGTGATGTTTCAGGTCCTAGTACGTGAATGAAGGCTTAGGAGCGAGTCTGGGGTCGATTGGACGAAGAACGGACGAATGGCGAGGTTTTTGGGGAGCTGCACGGGCAGACCAGGGAGGCTGCACGGCCGTGCACGTGAGCAATATGGCCGTGCGCCTTATGCCGAGGACACGCACGGGCAACCCCTGAAGCTCGCACGGCCGTGCACCCTGGCCGTGCGAGAGGGCTGAAGTTCGACTAAATGACACGCTGCGTTTTGAGTTGCACGGCCAGAATGGTGATATGCACGGCCGTGCACCCTGGCCGTGCGAGTCGGGATTTCCTGGTTTTAAGCCAAATTCCGAACCAAAGAAAGGGAGAGCTGGGTTTTGGATCCCAAACACCCAAGGGACGAACCCTAGAGAGAGAGGGCGATTTGAGGGCATTCTTGGAGTAGAGAAGGAGGATTTCTTCGCCTTGGAAGCTCGAGGAACAAGCCCGGACTTGAAGACTGATCATCTGAAGATTCTAACTGCAGTCTCTCTCTTCTCTATGGAGTAACTTCCCTTCACTTAGGTTTTGAGGAACCCTAGCTATGTTTGTTTGATTGGATGATTGTATGAGTACTCTGACTTGATAATCTTGAGTTCATATTCAATCTATGCATGTTTTCATGATTCAATTCTGCTTTAGTCGAGATTATTGATTCTGCTTTGATTCTATGAGAGGGAATACCTGATTAGGTCAATAGAGCACCATAGATTGATAGTAGTGGATCGATTGCTTTAGTCGAGGGTTGATTCACTGCTTTGTATCGATTGAGAACCCCTTTCGATAGAGGGAGTCTAGTTCAGAACGCCTTGATCAGTTGTTCTAGAGAAGGATACGTCCCTCTAGGCAATTGACTCAAGAGGGCCTTGTTCCTTTAGTCGAGACTCAAGGTCTAGTCAAGGATTCTCCGCATTGTGAATGAAAGTGAAACAGGTTAGAGATCATCAATCGTTAATCTGGCTAGTGGCTAGGGGGAATCATACCTAAGTGAGTTCCCAACCTGTAATTAGATTAACTTTAACTGTAGTTTGCTAGAGTAGTTTTAGTTCTTTCATCTTAATCTGATTTGCTAAATAATAAACTGAAGCTGAGTAATAGTAACTCTAGAGACCCGTGGATTCGATATTTATCACTTGAGCCACTATACTGCAGTCCCTTTCATTGGTTACACTTGGCCATTGTTAGGAGTTGTGTTTTAGAGCATCAAGTTTTTGGCGCCGTTGCCGGGGACTTTCTAGAGTATTAGGAAAGGCAGAAGTTTGTTACTTTAGCGTTTTTCTTTTCTTTTCTTTTCCACCCTTGCTTTTCACTTGGGTGTTTTTGTTTTTGTTGGTGCAGATCTGAATCATGGATCCTAATGGCTTCTCCAATCATTGGGGGTATCCACCACCATCTGGGTGGTATTACCCCGAGACTCCCTGGAGCAATCAAGGCGGAGAAGACTATGGATTCGGGTTCCAGTACCAACCCCCTTACTACGGAGAACAACCGGACCCCTGGGCATATCAAGAACAACCTCATTATCAAGAAGAATTTCTCCCACAACCAGAAGTGCCATCGGCGCTGGAGTTACTCATGGAGCAGTTTGCTCGAGACTGTGAGAGAACATGCTCCAGGATGGATCAGTGTGTCCAGGCCTATCGTGAAACAGATGAGATCCTCCTGAGCCTTAAGAAGAGCGTCGATGATCTTGAGCGATCTTGGGGGCAACCTGCTCCAGATCACCCTTCTGCTACCATACAAGAAGAGGAGGAGGAAGAAGAAGGCTACAAGGGCATTGTGGAACACACTGAAGTTGTCACGGAGAGCTCCCGTGATGATCATGATCAGGCGTGTCATGTCGTAGCCGACCACACCTTCCCACACCCCAAACTGAGCTTTGAAGAGGCGGGCATGAGTGAGGAGATGCAAGAAGATCTCATGAAAGAAATTGCTTGGCAACTTGCTCTCCAATCCGTGCTAGAAGAAGAAGAGCAAGAAAGGGTGCAGAAAGAAGTTGTGGAGGATGACGAAAGTGAAGCAGGAGGAGTTCTTGATCATTTCCCAGGGGTGATACCACATGAAGAAGGAAGGGAGGTTGAAGAAGCAATTGGCGTCCAGGCTGAGGACGAAGTTGAGGTGGAAGAGGCTTGCACCGGCCATGAGTTACAGGTGATATCTCCACCAAACTTCGAGGAACTGCTTAGCAAGGACCCATTTGCAGTGTCTCTTTGCCAGACCAAGGCCACCTCGACATCGGTCCCTCTTGGTGGACGCGATGGTGGCCAATCGATGCTGTCTTATCTGGTTTGGGGCAATGAGACGAGAGAAGAGAAGAAGAGGTCTCGAGGGTGGAGACTTCATCTGCATCAAGTACATGAGCCTTCATCACCTGCCACATCACATGCTCATGACTTGAGACTCCACCTCATCGACGAGAACCTCAACTTCAAGGAGGTTCTAGCATGGACCGAAACTTAGGAGCCATCGTCCGGCTCATGACGTGAAAGAAGCGCTTGTTGGGAGGCAACCCAACCAGTCGGTTTGCATTTCTTTCTCTTTTTCTCCTCGGTTGAGTCATTTTTTTTATTTGATTTTAGAGTCAATAACTCAACCTTTGTGAGATTCTGTGTTGTGTTTGTGTTCTGACCACTCTCTCCTCCGGGAATACACCGCCTGACCCGTTCATCATCATTCACCCTTGATCTGGTAACTTCGTTCTACCCTCTTTATCTTTCCTCCATTGAGGACAATGTCGTGCTTAAGTGTGGGGGGATGTTCGATTATTTATGCGGGTGAATGTTTGGCTGTTTGTGTCTTGGAGCCTAGTCCACTGTCCAAATTTCGATTTGAGGGCTCTAAGTACGTGTTCCTTGCAATTGCCTGCTCAGTATGCTTTGAATTGACAGTCTTTATAGTAATATGCAACCTAGGGAGGTAGTGTAGCACTATGGAGGATGTTGATGCATTTAAGAAGTCTCATTTCTTCTTCATATTGTGTTGGTTGATTGTGTGAATTAGTGATCTTAGGACCCTTGAATTGTGTGGTGTTGTGGACTCTCTGCCTGTCATGGACTCTTGTATCATGTTTTGAGTTTAACAGGTGCTCGAAAATGTGCTTCAAAATAAACGTCTCCCGTGCGAATAGGGCGAAAGTGTGTAAGGGGAGACGGGAATTCGTTCCCAATTTCCACCTACTACCTCCAGCCCCCTTACATGTCTTTCCCCCGCACGAGGCTCGAGACATCCGCTCCTAGCATGGCCGGTAAGAGCAGGTTGGGACCCTTGAAAAAGAAAAGAAAAGAAAAATATCAGAAAACAAGCAAAACAGGAAAAAAAAGGGGTCTCAACCATCTTCAAGAAGAAAATAGAGCACCTTGAAAAATGTGAGTCCATGATCCTTTGTTTTTGAGAATCTCTTCATCCACAATTCATTTGTCCTCTGTTCACTATTTGCCATGATGCCGACTCGCCGAAGAAGTTATGAGATGACTTGTGCGTCGGTTGACCTCGTAAGCTGCTAAATGATCTAGGAAGTCCTCTACCTACGATCTGGGTTGTTTGTTGCTATAGAGGTCTGGAGAATTGCATTGGTTTGAGTTAGGTTTGCTTGGGGACAAGCAAACGGTTAAGTGTGGGGGAGTTTGATAGACCGTTAATTACACATGTTTTTACCCCTGTTCTTACACCGTTTGAGATGTGATTTCTCGTGGTTTAGACCGATTTCATGCTAGGTTGTGCTTGTTTGTGAAGTTTCAGGTCCTAGTACGTGAATGAAGGCTTAGAAGCGAGTCTGGGGTCGATTGGACAAAGAACGGACGAATGGCGAGGTTTTTGGGGAGCTGCACGGGCAGACCAGGGAGGCTGCACGGCCGTGCACGTGAGCAATATGGCCGTGCGCCTTATGCCGAGGACACGCACGGGCAACCCCTGAAGCTCGCACGGCCGTGCACCCTGGCCGTGCGAGAGGGCTGAAGTTCGACTAAATGACACGCTGCGTTTTGAGTTGCACGGCCAGAATGGTGATATGCACGGCCGTACACCCTGGCCGTGCGAGTCGGGATTTCCTGGGTTTGCTTGGGGACAAGCAAACGGTTAAGTGTGGGGGAGTTTGATAGACCGTTAATTACACATGTTTTTACCCCTGTTCTAACACCGTTTGAGATGTGATTTCTCGTGGTTTAGACCGATTTCACGCTAGGTTGTGCTTGTTTGTGATGTTTCAGGTCCTAGTACGTGAATGAAGGCTTAGGAGCGAGTCTGGGGTCGATTGGACGAAGAACGGACGAATGGCGAGGTTTTTGGGGAGCTGCACGGGCAGACCAGGGAGGCTGCACGGCCGTGCACGTGAGCAATATGGCCGTGCGCCTTATGCCGAGGACACGCACGGGCAACCCCTGAAGCTCGCACGGCCGTGCACCCTGGCCGTGCGAGAGGGCTGAAGTTCGACTAAATGACACGCTGCGTTTTGAGTTGCACGGCCAGAATGGTGATATGCACGGCCGTGCACCCTGGCCGTGCGAGTCGGGATTTCCTGGTTTTAAGCCAAATTCCGAACCAAAGAAAGGGAGAGCTGGGTTTTGGATCCCAAACACCCAAGGGACGAACCCTAGAGAGAGAGGGCGATTTGAGGGCATTCTTGGAGTAGAGAAGGAGGATTTCTTCGCCTTGGAAGCTCGAGGAACAAGCCCGGACTTGAAGACTGATCATCTGAAGATTCTTACTGCAGTCTCTCTCTTCTCTATGGAGTAACTTCCCTTCACTTAGGTTTTGAGGAACCCTAGCTATGTTTGTTTGATTGGATGATTGTATGAGTACTCTGACTTGATAATCTTGAGTTCATATTCAATCTATGCATGTTTTCATGATTCAATTCTGCTTTAGTCGAGATTATTGATTCTGCTTTGATTCTATGAGAGGGAATACCTGATTAGGTCAATAGAGCACCATAGATTGATAGTAGTGGATCGATTGCTTTAGTCGAGGGTTGATTCACTGCTTTGTATCGATTGAGAACCCCTTTCGATAGAGGGAGTCTAGTTCAGAACGCCTTGATCAGTTGTTCTAGAGAAGGATACGTCCCTCTAGGCAATTGACTCAAGAGGGCCTTGTTCCTTTAGTCGAGACTCAAGGTCTAGTCAAGGATTCTCCGCATTGTGAATGAAAGTGAAACAGGTTAGAGATCATCAATCGTTAATCTGGCTAGTGGCTAGGGGGAATCATACCTAAGTGAGTTCCCAACCTGTAATTAGATTAACTTTAACTGTAGTTTGCTAGAGTAGTTTTAGTTCTTTCATCTTAATCTGATTTGCTAAATAATAAACTGAAGCTGAGTAATAGTAACTCTAGAGACCCGTGGATTCGATATTTATCACTTGAGCCACTATACTGCAGTCCCTTTCATTGGTTACACTTGGCCATTGTTAGGAGTTGTGTTTTAGAGCATCACCTAGCAAACTTCCGACGGGGGAATAATCGTTGGGCGAAGACGGTGGAAACCGACCAATCTACCACCACAAATGATTATCATAACCCCACAGAATAGAAGCTCACTTCGGTAATCTCAATAACGCAATATACCACGGTATTCCCAAATACGAACACAAACATAAGAACCACGATGGATGAAATACGAGATATGATTAACGAAATGAAAAGAAGTAACAAGAGTTTGGAATGAAAATCGACAGAGTTTCGGCTAACTTCTAACTTCAAATACAAGAAAGGGAGAACAAAATATAGCAGTAGTGTGTGCCATTGTCTAGTGTCCTCTCCCTCTATTTATAGTACAAATTGAGCTACTTGCTTGATCTACTTGCAGGCCAGCTACTTGCTTGTAATAAATGGACCAGCTGCTTGCTTGTCTCTCGACCGCTTTGATAATGGCCAGCTACTTGCTTTCATTCATGGACGAGGCAGCTACTTGCTTTGAAATAATGGACGAGCTTGCTTTCAGTTATGGACGAGCTATAATGGACGTGCTTGCTTGTCCATTTAATTCTCCAGCTTGCTTCCATTAAATTGACCTGGTAGCTTGCTCCCACTTAACGTGACTAGCTTCAGCTACTAGCTTCAGCTACGAAGGCAAGGGAGATGGAGCTGCTTGCTTAGGACGTCGATGCAGCTGCTTGCTTTCCGAATAATGGACCTGCTTGCTCCTACGTATGCACCAGCCTGCTTCCCAAGTAATTGACCAGCCTGCTTCTATTATTTGGACCAGCTTGCTTCTTCATTTGACGTCAGCCATCCTCCAGCTGCTTGGTTCTTTATTTGGACCAGCTTGCTTCTTCCATTTGACGTGAGTTATTAGCTTCAGCTATCTTTCGTTGATTCATCACCATAATACGCGATGGGTTTCGTATATTGATAACAAAAGGGAACGCGGCCGGAGTGGTACGGCTCTTTGCCCTCGCCTGGGACGTTGCGGGCTCGAGTTCCACCGACGCCAGATTTCGAACCCTAACCATCTTTTTGTTGAATTGACTCATTATTCCATTCTTATTGGATAGAATACCCTGAAACATGACTCCAACACAAAACCAAGCATAAAATCGGGAAATCGAATGAACTTGGTACAATTTATGTTATTTTAGGATGTAAAAGTGTAGGCGAATATATGTATAATTTAGGTGTTATCAGCTTACCAACCAGTTTTTGGAGTCACTTGGTTTTATATGCTGCATACTTGATAAATGGAATCCCAACACCTGTTCTAGAAGACAAATCACCCTTTGAATGCTTGTATGGCATCCCACCTAATTACAGCAGCTTGAGGGTGTTTGGTTGCTTAGCTTTTGCTACCATTGTTGATCCTCGTAAACCTAAGTTCTCACCTAGAGCAATAAAAGCAATTTTCCTGGGATACAGTTTTGGGATCAAAAGGTTCAAACTCTATGACATTGATAGGCGGCAAGTCTTCATCAGCAGGGATGTTCAGTTTAATTAATATGAATTTCCCTTTCTTTCTCACACCAGTTCTCCTTCTCCTACAGTTATCATACCATCTGATCATCCTGCTTCCTTTACACGGAAGATTCTTCCCCCTTATTACCTTCTGACCACAATGGTTAGCGAGTTATGGATGCGTTCAACCACCACAAACAACATTCGATCGTAATATTCCTATAACATCGGCAACTCTGACTCTGATTTATAAGAACATTCTTCTATCTTTATTAGTCATTCGACACAATCAATTGTTCAAGCATAAGGTTCACAAAACATAGCATGAGAGATCGAGCCAATAGATCTTACTTGGGATTTAGAACTTGGAAATTCTCTCTCACTCGACCAGTGGGGTCAGGGTAAATGCACGTAGCATTTAATTATCACTCTTTCCCTACCATCTCTCTGCCATGAGCTTATTGTTCGAGTCTCCAAAGTTGTGTCACCACTGACTTATCAGGTAGGTCTTTGATCGGGTGTCAAATGGGGTTAGGGGTATGGACATGTGGAAGTACTTTTGATCTGATTGTAAGTTCAAGGTTCCAAAATTTCTTTTTTTCTTTTTTCCGAAAACCATGACTTTTCTGCTTATCTTTGTAAGATGAAAATATAGACAAGGGAGAAGATTTTGAGGATTAATAGGATTTTAAAATGTAGCCAATGTGGCTTTTGAAGAATGACTCCTATTTATCATAAGTGCATGAAAGATGGTGGCCAACTTATCACAATTTTTTTCTTTGTTAATTTTTTTTTTCGAGTGGCCAACAATTCCATTTTTGAGAAATGCACTTACAGAAATCGTTTCTCCCTATCTCAACTTTTGTATTTAATAAATGAAGCAGAAAGTCATTCGTTTAAACCATTCACACGGAACCTTGAAAAAGGGTTCAAAATGAATTGAGGCTTGAAGAACAGGGATTGGTTTAAAACAAGTTGTCACCGAACAAAAAGGCATGTCTCAACGGGGTTTGACTAAGGGATATGATGTTCAGGGTAGTCATTTTGATTGTAGGGGTAGAACCTATTGCCTCCGTCATCCTTGTCAGTGATGTCACGGCTCAAACATGTATAAATCAAGCATATCATCATGCACAGAGAGGGATCTAACACACTAGAAAGAAACGATCATGCCCAAGTCTCACGTGGTTTACTATATGCTCAGCTTCCCATGCTATGCTTCCCAAACATTATGCAATAACAATCAAAGATGATAAATTTCTTTTTCAAGATTTCAGATAGTTCTTTCTATCAAAGAATGAGTAGCACGAGAAACATTTGTTTTAATCCCTCAGTCGTCATTATAGGTTGACATGCATCCAAATCGCACTATTCTTGTACCAATTTTAGACAAAGATGTGACTCAAAACAAAACACTCTTTTTAGTATTTATTTGATTTTTTTTTAATTTATGATTTTTCAAACTTTTTTTTATGGATGATGAGATTATTGAAATCAATCACAATGATTCTTTGTCAAAACACATGAAAACGAACGAATATACCCCCCCACACTTGAATTGGACATTGTCCTCAATGGACGAAAATATAGGGAGTAAGGATTCGAACTGTTACCATTTTCCTTGATGGGATATAGTGGCATGATGTTCGATGATTGTGGTTCCACTTGGCGAGTTCTTTGGTCGATGTTTCATGAAAGTTTTTATTCTTGAAATTGAAAAACTCAAATAAAAATAAAATAAAAGAAAGGGAAGGAAAATGCAAACCGGCATTGGGTTGCCTCCCAATAGCGCTTCTTTAACGTCGTATTAGCTGGACTGTAGTGTACTTCGTCAAGGTTTTTGAAGATGAAGTGCCTCGGCATTGGGGTCGAAATTGCCACCGAGGTATGGTTTCAGACGATGACCGTTGACTTTGAAAGTTCCCCTCTCAGGATGCGAAATTTCAACAACGCCGTAGGGAAATACTTGTGTGATCACATAAGGACTGGTCCATCTGGACTTGAGCTTCCCAGGAAACAAACGAAGACCAGAGTTGTATAGCAAGACTTGATCTCCAACGTGGAAGTTTTTGTCTTGCTTTATTTTGGAATCGTGGAGTCGTTTCGTTCGTTCCTTGTATAACTTGGCGTTTTCATAGGCTTGTAGGCGCATTTCGTCAAGCTCATTGATTTGGGCCTGACGATGGTCCTTGGTAGCATCTCCGTCGAGGTTGAGGTATTTGAGCGCCCAGTATGCTTTGTGTTCCAACTCGACGGGGAGGTGACAGGCCTTGCCATACACCAACCGATATGGTGAGGTGCCGATTGGTGTTTTGTATGCCGTACGGTAAGCCCATTGTGCAGTGTCGAGCTTTGTTGCCCAGTCCTTTCTTGATTGACTGACTGTTTTCTCCAATATCCTTTTGAGCTCACGGTTGGTGACCTCCACCTGACCACTAGTTTGAGGATGGTAAGCGGTGGAGACCCGGTGAGTTACACGAAATCGTTGGAGAACTTTGTCCAATTGACCTTGGAAATGGGTTCCTTGGTCGCTGATGATTGCTCGCGGTGATCCAAACCTGGAAA